GAGAGGCTGCCAGTGGTGCTAATGCTAACGAGGCGGACGCGAGAGGCTGCCAGTGGTGCTAATGCTAACGAGGCGGACGTGAGAGGCTACCAGTGGTGCTAATGCTAACGAGGCGGACGTGAGAGGCTACCAGTGGAGCTAATGCTAACAAGGTGGACATAAGAGGTGGACACAAGAGGCTACCGCTGATGCTAATGCTGATGGGGTGGATGCAAGGAGTGCCAATGCTAACGGGGCATTACCTGGACTCACGCTCGTCCCCACGGTTCTCGTCCTCCTCGTCGCTGCCACTGTACTCGTATTCCGTCTCCTCTGGGAGGGAGAACAGAGGCATCACCCTGGGTTCCCCACACGGACATTAAGAGATACTCACAGAAAGACATGCTGGATCCTTACCCTTCTCGCCCCGCTTCTTGCGCGTACGGTCGATATGGTCCTTCAGCTGGATGCGCACCTGGCGCTCAGTAGGCTGGTCACGGATGAAGGGGTGCTTCAGCAGCTGCTCCGTGGACGGCCGGCTGGGGTAGGTCTTCACTAGGCAGCCCTCCATGAAGTCGATGAACTTCTTCGACCTGGAGCGGTGAGGAGGAGGGCGGGACCCAGGGGGTGGGAGTGGAATTAGGACAGGCAGGGCCTCCAGCAGCCAAAAGACAAGAGGACAACGAGTGACCGGATCAAAGGAGACCCGGAGGAGTGTGACACAGTGTGAAAACAGAAGCGTGCAGAGGAAGGGAGATGTGGGCAGGTAGGTGAATGAGGGGGCACTTAGGAGAAAAAAGGACAAATACTCACCATTTCTTGGACTTAAGCTTTGGAGGGGGGTTCCGAGGGATCAGGAAGAGAGCTCTCATTGGATGCATGTCACAGAGTGCTGAGGGGGCGTGGTTGGGGGGCGGGGCCAGGCAAAGGGTAGAAATTATAACAGGTAATGTATGTGAAAAATACAGCGCGTAAGCAGTTTTGGAAACAGGGTTTTCACAGCATAGACCACATTAAATACCAAACGTGCTTCATCCCGTCACTAAATCTGACTGGATGAAAGAAAGTTCCTGTTGCCATGGTAAAATTATTAGCATACTGTTGGTAAATTTAACGGCCAATCATTGCCCCACACCCACACAGTCCTCGCTCATCATCACCACCCCCGCAAAGCCTCCAAGGGCCCGACTGTTGTAGTGTAGGGGGGGGGGGATGATCAGAAAATAATATATAAATAAAAATCACGACGACACCATATTTATGATGTCATGCCACTCTGCAAAGACTGTGGGCCAAAATTCCTAGGGAAAGGTTAGCGTTCATTTCACGCCATAAACCACTTAGCCTGGTGGCCATGAAAACAGAACGAGCTGATCTGGACAGGCTGGTGTGGTGCCACGCCCCCCCCCCCCAGATGATGGTTTTACCATTCAGCCCCGAGCACGAGGTGCACAGTTCAGTGTAGAAAGATCCGGATCTACTCACGCGGAGCGCCTTCCGCCATCTCTATAGCCGTGATCCCGAGCGACCAAATATCACTCTGTACAAAGAGAGGGGGGGGAGGGGTGGGGTGGAAATTTACAGATATCACACGCATTGAAGTTTAAAGCCAGACGCACAGACAGACACAAACACACGTATGGATACGCACCCTGTAATCGTAGGTGGAGTCAGGGTTCTCGTCGCAGGCGATGACCTCAGGCGCCATCCAGTAGGGGGTGCCGATGAACGTGTTCCTGCGGCCCACCGTCCTGTCCAGCTGGGCGCTCACCCCGAAGTCCACTGCGGGGACGAAAACGAGCGAGGTCAGGGAAAGCACCGGGCCAACATTTTATCCCTGAGTAACTCTCAGCGCGAGCGAAAGCAGCGCCACCTGTCCGTATGGGGAACGCTCCGAAATCCCTCATCCTACAAACACCAGACCGGGCTGCTTATATCCACTGCAGCCTCCTCCATCATCTGCTTTCTGGGGTGATTCTGATGTGCAGTTACACACCCACCCAGAGCCGGCCATGGTCAGATAAGAGAGTCTGCTTTCTGTCTTCATTCCAAAAAAATCACGCCAAGGTTAATTGGTTCGGAGCCGCCGGCTATTTGCGGAATGTTCTACCTCAAAGCACTGAGCTGGAATTTTGTTGGTGAGGAATTTGGGGGGTGGGAGTATGGGGGGATGAGGACCGTAAAGCATGCAAAAAAAGAAAAGAAAAAAAAAAGACAGCAGTAATTTGATAACGGCGAGGTTTTAAACTGAGGGACCGGCAGCGCGAGAGAGGATGTGCGCAAAAAATCTGTTTAAAGCTAAAAATAAGAGGCCGAAAGCGACGAGGCAGCTGACCCTGAGTGAGAAGTCAGCGATTCATAACCCGAAAACTCATCATAGCTGGAGCCGTTTTAATTGCCCTCGTGATGATTCAGCAGCCAGATGGACAAATCGGCCCCGACGTAGCAAAACATCTCTATAAAGACGGGTACGATCAGAGGCACAGAGTGGACAGGCGGGCGCCACGCCCTCGCCTGCCACGGAGCAGATCTCGCTGGTTCTCACCCAGCTTGACCTCTGCGTTCTCAGTCAGCAGCACGTTCTGGCCCTTGATGTCTCGGTGGATGACCTTGTGGGCGTGGAGGTGGGACAGGCCCTGCGCGAGACACAGCGAGGGTGAGTAATGCGCTCCACTCCGAGGCCACCCCCCCCATCCGCTCCCCCCACAGCCCTAACCCTCAGGATCTCCCGGCAGATGTAGGCGATCCAGTCCTCCTTCAGCGAGTTCCCCTTCGTGTTCTTCACCAAGTCCGTGACGGAACCGGCGCCGCAGAACTCCATCACCAGCTGAGGGGGGAACACAAGAGACAGCGTGAGAGGTGCTAGCATTATCGGGGGGGGNGAGACAGCGTGAGAGGTGCTAGCATTATCGGGGGGCAGGGGCACACACCCCTCCCAGTACACAGGAGGGACAAGGGGGGGGCGGGGGCAGGCAATCACACACACCCAGAGCTGATCGTCGTGGCCAGGGGGGCTCTTCTTGACGAAGGCGCCGTAGTAGGTGGCTATGTTGCGGTGATGGCTGTACTTCTTCAGCATGTTGATCTCCGCCTTGATCTCCTCCTCCTCCTCTTCCGTCACATCCATCACCTTGATGGCGGCCAACTGGCCGGTCTTCACATGCCGGCCCTGCCGGCAACCAGGAGGGGGCAGCAGTGAACAGAGGAACAGCAGGGGGGAGCCGGGGGTTGCCCACCATCTCCAGTAACAGCTTCCACTCTGGGATGCTGACTGTGTAGGTCACCCACTTATAAAAATGGCAGCCATAACACAGCGCAAGGCCAAGGCCCCCTGCTGGTCACAAACAGTCACTACATTGAATATTAAATAAACACATTCCTTAATTAGTCACTACAATATTGTGACTCTACTCGTTAGCTATTTATTTAGATTTTAAACATCTAGAGGAGGCGTAGCGGTTCCCCCAAAGTGACTTTTTAAGTGGGGTCCCATGGTCAAAAAACTGGACCTAGATTGCACCCAAAGTGATCCATCACCCCCACCGATTTAACAGCAGAGACCTGAATGAAACCTCAGTGGAGAATGACTGATACTCCTACAAGCCCATCACCCCCCTGGTCCCCCCCCCCACCTCACCTTGTACACCTGGCCATAGGTCCCATTGCCCACCACTTCCACCAGCTCGAAGATCCCAGCCGGATCCTGGCGGACAGAGAGGAACGTGGTTAGAATGACGAGCGACACATTGCCGTCCGGCCCAGGCGTTGCGGTCGGCTGGCAGATGTTGAAAAACGTCGAACGAGGCGAAACAAAGTAGTTCATGAGAAGTCTATGTCAGAGCCTAAGAAGCGGCTTCAGGGATCCGTTTAGGAAATCTTTCATAGGTTTGTTTAGTAAAATCCACGTATGATATCGACAGACACTGGGAGACTGTCACACACAATGACGGCGTGTGTGTGTGTGTGTGTGTGTGCGCGCGTTTAGCCAACTTGGAGGGGGGGCATTTTAGGTTTAGCTGAATCAGGTACTTTGCACATATCATTTACCAGATTTTGGGAGTCCGGGTTAGTATGAAATCCAAACGCAATCCATCATTTTGGACAGAGCGAAAGAGAGAACGAGGGATTGATAAGGGGCCAAAATTAAATATGGCAACCTCCACAGAACAAAAAAAAAAAAAACTCCAGCACTTACACTGATTACATCGCCCTGGCAGGGGCTGCGGCCACGCAGAGCAGGGAGCTACACTAAACCGCCATCAGAGGAGATTAGAAAAGCAGATGAAGATCGCCGTCGGGGGAGGGGGACATTCTTTACGATTTCAAACATATTTCAAAATGATCATTCTGCAAACCAGATTTCTATTTTTATTCATACGTTTTGTTTTGATTGCTGAATGCATGCCCAACTGTCTAAATATTAAAGATGGGGGGGGAGGGGATTTCAGTAGTTACTTTTCCTTCAAACCCCATAAGACATATGCATGACATGCAAACAAACCCCAAACGCATTGGGCAACATTAAAGCAACGATACGCAACAGTATCATTTTGCACTGTTGCAGATGCACAATCTCTCTCCAGCGATGCACCAGTCTTCATGAGGAAACTATTGGCCAAGTAGCTTGCGCCGCCACCCGGAGGCGACGGTGGGAACTGACGCCAGTACATGTGACGCGGTGTTTCTCAGCCTAGTCCTTGGGAACCGCCAGAAGGTTGCCATTTTCAGCTCGGGCGAGGACCAGGTTAAGAAACACTGACTAACTCCACCTTCCAAGCATGCAACAGGTGCAGTTACAAAAAATGGATGTACAGGGAACTGCAGTGAAATTCCCAAATATATACAACAAAAAAGGGAGGCCCCTGAAATAAGATGCACGTCCAGTGAATGTTATTAAGGAGACTGTGCCCTTGGCCTCTGTAGGGGTATGGGACATAAAGACTCCAGAGTGAGGAGCTGCCAGAGACTGGGAGAAACTGGGAAAAGCCAGAGCCAGTAGCAGACACCAAGGCAGCCCATCCAGAACCTGACAAAACCAGCCCCAAGAATAGGACTGAAGGAATGATGGCTGCCATTCCAGCAGGCCAGGGAGGGAGCAACCCAGCACGCCGGACTAGCAGCAAATTCAATACCTTCATGAGATCAACATACTCGCTGTCGTGAAAAAGCCCCGAAATTAAGAACAAGGGGGAACACAGAATTACACCACCCAACATGCAGACCCCTTTAAACACAGGGACTGAACAGCATTTAACTTCACATCCAACAACTAGAGGTACTGAAGTAACAGCAGAGAACATGCCAGAATAAAGATATTTATTTAATGGAACCTTTCAGCTTGTAGGTGTGCCGATATCTAGCTGCCAGGTTCTTAAAAGCCTCATAGTCAAAATTCCACCCTACGGTGGCCCTCTAAGGTCACATTAATACCCTTCTTCAGCGCTCACACCAGCGTGTGAGTCTGTGTGTGCGTGTGTGTGTGCTCATGCCCGCCCGTGCGCGTGAGGCAGTGGGCGCCGTGCAGAACGGCTATCAGACAATGAGCCGATGTGAATCATCGCTCCCCCAGCTCACTGCCCGCCCGACTGCCTCTCAAAATGGAGACTTAAAAAAAAAAAAAAAAAAAAAAAGGTTTGCCTGAAGAGGACTGACGACTGGCTCAGCTCTGCAGCGACATCAGCGAGGCTGGAGACCAGGTCAGCGGCCTGTCGACGTTCACAAGCACTGGCACGCACAGATGCCACTTCAAGGGCCCGCAGCCCCGAGGACTCTGGCCACAGTGGTCTCCAAGCCCCATTTCTAAAAGCACGCGGCTCTTAATTAGCACCCAGGCGGCCCAAATTACGCATGCAGAAGAAACCCGACTGGGGCCACCGGGTATAAACAGCCAGGCTGCACGTACCTCTGGTTCCCCACCCGTGTGCAGCAAGCAGAGAGTTTTATCATGACATAAAGGCCGCGGTTACATCTGGGACTTACCACCCAAACTGGGGGCGGCACTTAGCAAACACACCGCTAAACACCACCAATGCCAATTCTCTTCCTTATCTACAGCGAGGCAGGTGTGTTGAAATTCCTGTTGGTGCAATAAGCTGAAATCAGCTGACGTCTACATCTAGAGATAAAATGAAAGTTAAATCTTAGGGACCAGCATTCTCCAAAAAAAAAAAAAAAGCATCCAATTGCCCCCTATTGACCTGGTGATGAAGGGCGTCTGGGGTTGGGGGGGTGGGAACCGACACTGAGGTACCTCTGAAAGTGATGCCCTCTGCCCCCACCAAACATATCAGCCATAATGACTCATCGGCTGCCTGCCAAACAGCCGGTCCACCCAAACCCTGATTCTGATTCATGAATGAGTTTGCGAAACGGCCGGATTCACAGGTACGTAAGACAGCGAAGTTCCCATTACTGACTGAAAGCCGTCCAGATATGTAGAAATTCCGCCGGCTTTCGCACCAGAATGGAAGGGGGGGGTGGGACAAGACAAAGAGGACAGTGATACGTGCACGAGTCAGTCTGGGTAAACAGAAGCTCTGCTACCAAACATGGTGCAGGCAAAGAGCGGCATTTACACCAAACAGCACAGCTGGAGGTTTTCATGTCTCATTAATGGACACAGGGCCAACGCATCATAAACATCGTCAACATCAACATCATTTTTCCATAGAGTGAGACTCTTTTCCAGCTGTTGCACAGATATGAAGCTTTCTATCAGTTTTCTTAAAAACCAAACCTGAGCTTCTGATAACTGAGCTGGTAACGGATCCTCTAAAGCAAATATCATTCGGTACAGCTGCGTCAAGCTCAGCCAATGAGGGCAGCACACACATCTGGATTGGCCACGAATCAGCAAAGTGCCTTCGGATTGGCTGGTTGGATGGGGGTTGGGTCGCATCTACACCTCAACAACAGGTGCGACGAGCTCCTCTGAAGGCAACAGCAGGACTTTCAGAAAAAAGCTCCAGGTCATGAAACCAACCAGTCCGCACTAACAGGTCACGTTGCGAAAAACCTTCTGAGATGTTTTCTCTACAACTGCAGTAACAAAAACAATGGTTCGGAAAACATGAAACATAAGATAATAAACAAAGGCGCTACAAAATAAAATACTCTAAAAGAATGAAAATACTGGAAGGCACTTATTCATAATCATTAGTAATAACATTACTTCAAAATTAGTACATGGATTAAAGTTATTACATGTCTCCAGGTGACAGTTTACCACCCAGTTCTCCACCCACCAGTGATGATGCCCATACGTGGATTTGTGGACAATAAATTGACAATAAATGCAAGCATGTTGAAAGATTCCCGTGACCCTGAGCAGGACAAGAGGATGGATGAAAAGTGGGATGATAGATGGAGGTTGGCAGTTCATTCTTCCGTATGAAAGCCACCCAGCGTGCCGATGTAATCCTGAGCTCCACAAATAAGACCTTGACTAATGGGCTTGAGGGATCACTAATGAAGCGCGTCGTTTTCATCGCGGTTATTCTGCTCGGTGGCGGATCTGTCCTCGACATGCGTGACCCGCAGAGCGCAAGGGGTTGGACCAGGGCAGCAAATATACACCGCCTGGGCCTGAAAGCGGAGGCTCGGTACAACGAAACGTGGAGCGTCCGGCTCCGTCCCACCAGCGGCTGAGCAAAACGCCGCACCAGCCGAGGGCACAAGAGAAATATCTGATCTGAGATATATATATATATATATATATAAAAACAACAGATCGAAATGAATCAATTCAGGGCTGGCAACTTTGGTCAGCTGGTTGGCGTGAGATTTTCAATTCAATTCGAGACAAGTCTACACACGCATTTACATGTATGTAAGAGTTTTATTACCTTGTAAATCGTCTGTAGCCTATAGCTTGCAAAATACCCCAATGCTTTGATGTAGCTAATTTTAGGTTTATAATGAAATAATATAGATTTACTATAAGATTTATTGCCTGGGAATCAGAAATCGTGAGTGTCACCTACTGTAGGCAATCTAAAAAGTCTGCGTCCGATTTAATGCAGTCAACGGCAGGATGGTTACCCAGCTAACATGGAACGTTCCCAGAACTTTTAACGGCACGTACAAATCTTTCCAAAAACTGGTAGATGACGTTCTTACTGTAATGATAATGGAACAATATTTCCACCTTTCACATTGGTAACATTATTAGCCTACCTGAACATCCTTTTAAAGCACTGTAAAAGCTAATCAGCTAGGCCTACGATCCCGATCAATTAGCCTGCTGAGAAATTGAGTACTTTACGTTATTTTTTAAAAATCCAGCAGTCAATTTATCATAATTTACGCAAAATTCTAATGAGATGCGCATGTATGTATTTGTAATGAGTAGCGCGTTTGGTTTGACAGGCTGATAAAATCGTTATGAGCGATTCAGTGACTTTCACGGGCTCTTGGGTAAATTATCACCGGACATATTGTTGGTATTCTATATAAAACGCATCTTCCAAGCGGCCCGCAGGTGACACGCAAGTACCGGATTAAGTGTTAAAAAGCAGCATAAGCTACAGAGATCTGTGCCATTATAAATCTCTAACCTGCTATATATGCTCAGCCACATTTCCGCTGCCCGCTTGCGGGCAATGACACGTGGTTATAGTTGAATAATGCTGCAGCAGAAGGAAAGTTACCCACTCATTACTGAAGTACAAAAGCTTCATAAATAGGGCTACGGCGATGGTAAGTATATTTATGGTTAACAAGAAAAAAAACTCGCGCTTATTCAAATCCTAATAAGACAAAGCCGTGTATCGACTATTAAAACCCCTTCATTTGAGTACATTGGCGCCCGTTTATATCAAGTAGTAGAAGTAATTAATGTACTGCAAAAACTGACTTACTATTTACTTATGGAAATTGGCGGCTGATTTTTTTTGTCAACTAGTGTCAATGAAAGCCTATTAAATGACCAGGTTTGTGGGAGTCATCAAGCTACAATACTAAAGAAAATGAGTTATTGGATCAAGGAGGCTAAAAGGGGACAGGGGATAATCCAGACTGGAGATAAGTCTCAGCGGACACCTGTCTTGTCTTTCAAAATGGAGCGGAGCGCCGTTTGCTGGCGCGTCCCTCCATCCACATGACAGCACAGCCTTCGACTCCAGCCTGTTTTTAATAATGCTGAACATGAGCCTGGTTCCAAGCTGCCGCCGAACTGCGGCTCTCCGGCGAGATGGATGCGGTGAGGGAGGCCTGGGCGTGTTTGCGCACTTAAAGCGCGCTGGAGGCCGGGCATTTCCCGGCGGGACCCCGCTAACATCCAGGCACCGGGGCTCGTAAAGGCTGCGGAATGTGTCGTCCCCGTGTGGCCCGAAGCGCCTGTCACCCTGTAAACTCCCGGTTCTGCTGATCGGTACCTAGCTAAATCTAGCAAATGACCCTGGCAATGGGATTACGTATTTCTGAGCGCATATTAAATTCGTCAACACCAAACAGCCCAGATATTTCGCGTAATCAACCTGAAAGCTATGTAAACAAATCTCAAGCGCGTCACACCAAAGCCAAAATGATGGAACAAACGTATCAAAGCGATCTTGTAAACTGTCTTCATCGAGTAACACAACCTTTTCAACAAAAATGTAAATACGCCGTGCTTTGGCTGATACGTGGAGTTTAATGCAACACTGATGGACCTCTGCATGAACAACCTGCAAGATCATGTTATTACAGGCACCCAGGTAAACAAAAGTACAGTAGTGTCACCTCTAATAGCCGAGATACCGAAGATGGGTAAAAATTTTGTACATCACATATTTTGCACTTACCCGCAAAGCACCCAGGTCTATGTCATCCAGGCTGCGCGTAGGAGCGTTTTCAGACATTTTGTCCAAACTTCAAGAGGAATTTTGCAGTGATGTACGGTTATATAAATCTCAAGGGAGCTGGTTTTCGCCTTAACGTTATCTAATTTAGTCCGATAAAATCCGTAAAATCTGAAACGTTTCCAGTGGCGTTTTTTCGGACATGCAGTATATTTGATCCACTTGGCTGAGCTCCGCAATCACTCGTATGTTAACTAGTTCATTAAAGTATAGTTAAGTATCGGATGAGCTGTACTTTGTAACTAAAGCCCAACGAACGGTCTGCAGAAGCGCAGCAACCCCGGCTGTGCTCAGACGCGCACGGCGGCGCCGGTCAGAGGCAGCCGGAGAAACGCGCAGCCGGGCGCAGCGCCGGACATTTCGGAAACGCTGCCCGGCTCACACCCCAGCCTGGCAGGCACGGATCACTGGGCGGATCAGCCACTAAGATCCCCAATCGCCGACGGTCACGGATGCGCCACACCGGCACCGAGGGCTAGGCAAACATGCGTGCGCGCAGCACCGACGGACATCCGCATACTTTCGCCCCGGTGTCCGACCAAGCACACAAGCTGGAAGGCGACCCACGCAAGCCGTGAAAGGCGAGTCTTGTCCGTCCAGGTCAAGCCCAAAAGCCCGTCTCAGAGAGCAGCTGTTCCCAGCTCGGTGCCGAGCTGCCGGGGTGGCGCATCGAGGTTTTTTTTTTTTTTTTTTTCGGCGTCTCCCCCTCCTTCCTTCTTCTCCAGCTCCTCCAGCGAAAACAAACTTTAATCCCCCGAGTTGACAGCGTCACCGTGCGCACCGCCCACAGCCTATTTCGTCCGGGGGGGTGAAACACAACTGTGCAGGAAACAAGAAAAAGACCGATTTGTATACATTAAAATGTCCGAAAAAGAAGTAAGGAAAGACCAAAAGACCAACGCAGCACTTTATGATTTTTAGAGCGGTGGCAAAATCCCTTTTGCAGTCATCCAATTAAATAATATGGAGGAAAGGGAAGATCATGGTATAACGTCCCCACCTATCTGCAGACTCAAACCGCACACTTTTATTTATCTTTTCAGCCCTTCTATTCGATCTTCCTGGAGCCTAAAATGTCTACGGGTATCCTGGAGGGACAAACTACACGCCGAGCGTCTCCACCTTTGGCGAACTTAATTGTGCGCTCGTCAGCTGCTCTCTACGCTGTATTTAACACAACAAACGCAAAGGAGGATTTTAAAAAATTTTTGGGGAAGGAGCAAATAATGAGGGATATGATAAAAAATACACAAATACACACAGTGGCGACAAGTAGAAATGTAAGTTTATTCGTTGCAAGAAATTAGAACCATAGATTAAAATATCAATTTTTACATTTTTAATTTTGTGCAACAAAGGACCGATTTACAAAGGACGTGTGAAAATACAATGAAAATGCTGGTATTTGATAGCATGTCTGGTTGTATGATAGGCCTAGTATGTCAAATAAGCAAATGCATAAAAAACATTCATTATGCAGAAACGTTAAATCGGTAACATACAAATAATATAAACATGAGTAAAAACGATTAAAAAGTTATATTTTATGTCGGTATAAAACCTTTACAAGTATTAAATGCTTTATTAAAATTAGATAAATATCGTGACATTTAATGAAGTGCTGTAATTAATTGCACAGGTATCTGTCGATTTTGGTGCGCATTTGGAACTGTGACCACCGCACGTCAATTTGGGTGTATCTCGATACTTACACGGCAGTGCTCTTCAACCTTTTAGAAGCGCGACCAGTCGCGACCCTATAAGAAGTATAGGTTTAAATTAACGCTATGATCAAACACTCAGCGCGATCTGTAATTTACGCCAATCAATGCCTATCGCACAAATTTGATTGGATGTGGCAGTGAATATTAAATTAAGCATCTGCTGTTTGGCTTCTCGGATTGATTAAATGTTCACTAGTTTTGCGCTAAGCATTTAAAGACCCAAGACCCGTTAATATAGGTTAATTCTAGGGTTGGGGTGGGAAATCTGATCGTGGATCAGCATAGAAGCTTGGTAGTTTTAAAACGCTTACATTTAAAACTCCGCCTCACAACCCTTTCAGAACGCGACCCAATGGATTGAGTCGCTGGTATAGGGGAGAGGCAAGACATTAAGTTCAGTACTGTAATATGTACACACAGTACTCTACAGGAAATAATGTACATATAAAAGCACGACACTTTATAATGAAAAGCAATACACCCGCTACTGTCCTACTACGTCCGCTTTCAGACGTCTCTCGATCAGTATTGATTTCTTACTATACACCTCGGGTAAATGCAATCGTCACTTGACAGGACCTAAGTCGACGGATATCTGTATGCATACTTTAGTGAAAAAAAAGTCGTCTTGGCCTTTCCTTACTATTATATTACTCAAGCGTGGTATAAGCCCCACTTACAGCATCCCAGCTCATGTTACAAATATCCACAGCAGGAACTTTAGTTCAAATTTAAGTTGCTTGCTTTTCCTCAATGGCGTTACCGGCAGTTTAGCGTAGTGTAGTTAAGGAATCGGACTCGTGAACGAGGAACGAAGGAACTAATACCGGAGTTCTGGTACACGCGGGCACGGTCCTTGACCCGAATTACGTGAGCTGCGAATTGCTGGCTGTAAGGATTCACAGAGGACGTGTAGGTAGCTTCATGTGAGAATGTCGTGTAAGTCGACAAATAAGGTAGCGCGTTAGCACTTGGAGACAGTGATGTCAACCTGTCTCACAATAACATTACATACCCCCCCCCGCAAACACACACATAATGGAGGATTCTGAGCCGTCAACAGGAGCGTTACATAATAATTCACTTGGTTGCCAAGGTAACAGCAGCGGCAGCATGGCGATTTCTTCCTTAGAGTCCCCTTGGTCCCTCGTGCCCTTTTAACCCTTCGTTCTCGCTGTCCCTACGGCTGACCCTCCTGCCCATCACCCCGGCCTTTCCTTCCATCTTGTTCCCCATCTCTTCCCCGCACCCCCATCTGCTTTTTACGTCCGTCACCATAACAACCGCGGATGTTCACACAGCAGGATGGCGGGAGAGCAATGGTGCACGTCCTCTCCCACACCGCAGAGATGGAAAGAGCACGTTAAACGCACCCCCCTCCCCCCCCACCACCCCTATTGCTTTCAGTTACACCTCAGCTGAAGATGAGCTGCAGGGGAAGAAGAAAAACTGCCATGTTGCCCATCCCTGGCTTCACTGCCCTCATTAGTGTCACGGCTCCTGTTTTAGCTCCAAACCAACGGGGTGAGGAGCGCAGTGCATTCTGGGCTGCGACGCGGTCTACTGCAATGGCGCGTGTGGACCGGAGCACTATCTGCACCCAGAACATCGCATGGCGTCTTGCTCTGGAAACTCCTAGAAACAGAAGCTCTGAGAGGTCTGGGAATGAATGGGGGGCTTTTCAACCCCCATGATAAGGAATGTGTGCAAATATGGCAACTATAGAAATGAAGTGTCTTTTTACAGTCAGCGGGTCTTTAACCCTTGCAGCCCAGTGGCTCGTAAGTGGCTGGTTGACCCTGGGATTAGCCTCTCCGCTACGTCCACACCTCCATGGGCACGATGCGCTCCTTGCTGCTGAGTGGTGGGAGGAGGTTCTCCTCGCACAGGAAGTGGAGGGGATAGTGCACCAGCAGGCCGCGCACGGCTCCTAGCTGCTCCCGCGCCCTCGCGGGGTCCGTATCACACAGCCGCTCCGCCGGGTTCAGCTCCCGCAGGACGCGCAGGCTGGTGACGGAGTCGGAGGGGAGGCAGCGGAACACCTGAAGGTGGGGCAGTGGAGGGAAGTATAGAGGTGAGCTTGGGGCAGAAGACAAAGAGTAGCGACAGAACGGTGACTGTGGTCTGTTACTCACAGGGTGTGTCTCTCTGTATGTGTCTGTCTCTCTCTCCGTCTGTCAGCCTCACACTCAACCATTCTCCCCATTGGTCAGCTTGTCTGTCTCTCAGCGTCTCTCCATTTGTCTCTCTCCATCAGCTACTTTCAACCTGTCTCTGTCCTTCTGTCAGCCTGTCTCTCAATCCCTCCGTCTCTCTGTCCGTTTTTCTAACTCACCGTCTCATAAATACTGGCGTTCGATGCGGCCGTCTTGTTCCACACCTCCTGGAAGAAATCCTCACTGATCGGATCCTGGATGTCGATGCTGGGGTCGGCGTCGGCCGCCAGGAGAACCCTGGGGGAAACGAGCAGGCAGGTGTCATGGGAGGGCATGAATATCGCGACGCTGGTGGAGCTGGTGAGGTTCCTCCTATCCGCGTGTGCACGACCTCTGACCTGAAGCACTCCTTGCGCAGGGCCAGAGTCAGGGGCCCCGCCTCGTAGTCGCCCCCCCCCATGCGCGACGGCACCCGCTCCTTGTCCTCCACCAGCACTGCCACCTCACTGTCCCGACTTCCCAGCATGCTGCGGTCGTTGACGTTGGCGGAGCCTGGGGGGGGGCAGGAAGGCACCCATAATTATGACAATAGAGGACAGGAAATGGGGAAGTATGGAGAGAGGGAGCAGGAAGTGGGAGATAAACAGGAGGAGAGCCCCAACTTAATCTTAATTAATCTTAATCTTAACTTAATCTTAGTCTGTGAGCTTAACCCCACAGGTTTAAGCGGAGCACGGGGCCAGTGCTTTAGCTTAATTACAGGGTCATACTTTAGTGCGGAGATAGTAAAGGTGTCCGGCGAAACGGCTGGAGCCCACGCTGGGCTCAGCATGACTCCCACACGGGGAAAGGTAATGAAATGCATCCGAGACAACTATGCACATTTTCAACAGGCTTTGCCAGACATATTATTATTATTAGTAGTAGTAAAAATAAATAATAACAATAATATTGACATCACTAATATAAGGAGCAGGTCATCTAGTGTTCATCACTTAGTCACTCGTCATGGTTGTTTACATTGTAAAATCTGGCATTATTTATTGTTATCACCATAGTTACGGTGTCATGTGATATTTAATAATCGTGGCAGCCTTGTGTCATACTGTGGCATCACCGCATTTGGGGGGGGGGCACTCTCACCGATGATGTAGCGGCGGTCGTCGGCGATCAGCGTCTTGCTGTGCACATAGATGAGCTCAGTGATCAGTGACCCGGAGAGTTGGGCGTGCGTGCGCAGACCACACAGTGAAATGTACTGGCTCCACTGGTCCTGCACTGTGAGGGGAGCAGCGTTCAGTCACTTAACACACTGGGGGGTGGAATGGGTGTTTCTGGTATTCATCAAAATAGTAGGATAAATGATGTCTCACACACACACACACACACACACACACACACACACACACAGCCGGCACTGTTTGTAGGGGAAAATGTAAAAACTTGTTAAAAACACGAGCAAAAAGAGGGAATTAAAATGGGGGGGGTGTCAGAGCTGACATTGTGACTTACTATGTTCCTTTAATCTGGCCAGGATGGAGAACTCCCCCCGACACATGGTCCTACATCACAGAGACACAGAGACTGTCAGCAGACAGGTCGCGGTAAACCAATAAACCAGGCAGGAAGTGCGTTACAGCCTGGATGGTGTCAGTCAGTCTCTGTCAGTCAGTCTCTGTCAGTCAGTCTCTGTCAGTCAGTCTCTGTCAGTCAGTCTCTGTCAGTCAGTCTCTGTCAGTCAGTCTCTGTGCTTGTTTTATACAGGGTCGCTGACCTGTACGTGAAATGCAGGATGGCCTGGATGGCATTGCCACCCCCAACACTGATGTCCCCTTCAAATCCAGGCAGCAGAGGGACCAGCACATAGACCCGGTATGTTTTCTGTTCACTGGGTGGGGAGAGAGAGAGAGAGAGAATAAGCAGAGAGACCTGGGGGGGAGGCACAAAAAGGTCACATCTGACATAAGAACCACGTCAGACACAGGATATAACCGGTGCAAGGAAGCAGACATGAAAACGGCGAACGTTAAACACTAAGTTCGTAATCTAGGATACCATCACAGAGTAAGACACAGACAGACCGACTCAGACAGACCGACTCAGACAGACCGACTCAGACAGACCGACTCAGACAGACCGACTCAGACAGACCGACTCAGACAGACCGACTCAGACAGAGCCAAAAGGCACGTCCAGGGACGCCACAGAAGGGCACCCCCTGCAGGTGGGTGGGTGACCAGGCAGACGGACCTGTGGGCTCGCAGGATTCGTTTCACGATGGCGTCCCCGATACCATTGTGCACATTCTTCCCATCCGCACCGCTGATGAAGAACTGATTCTACAGGCAGATGGCAGAGTAAAGCTTCAAAAATAAACTGAACATAAATACCATTAAATGCCATTAATCTTCCAGCCCGTGTCCTCAGGGGTCTCCGTTAAAATGTGGACTGTCTGGGGGTCCCTGCGGATTGGACTGGGAAACCCTACCCTAAAACGAAGGCTCTCTTCACACAAACAACGCTGACCTCGATGTAGATGTAGTGCTCACTGGTCTCGATCAGGTGCAGGTAGGCGTTGTGAATGGAGCTCTCGCACGTGCCGGCCGACCAGCGGTCCACGGAGCGCAGCACCTGGCAGGGCGGGCAGAGGCGCCACAAGGCGGTGCAGCCGTTAAGGGACCAGGAGTGAAAATGATCAAAATGTCATGGTGGGCAAGCTGAGTGAGAGCCAGTCTCACCAAGTGAGCCGAATGTGTGGTGACCTGGATCAGTACAGCAGTCTGCATCTGGCCTCGAGCACTAACACTACGAACAGGGTCATCTTGCAGACCAAAGCACTTAGGGCCTTATTGTAATCATTCTAATCAGAGCGTGTGTGTGTGTGTGTGTGTGTGTGTGTGTGTGTGTGTGTGTGTGTGTGTGTGGCAGTGTTGGAAAGTAATAGAGGTGCACCAATCCAATGTTCGAGATCAGTATCTGCACTGATCCATACCTAATCAGACGGATCGGCCATAAATCATGCAAATGTGTCTGTGAAGGTGTCTGTGAGGGCATGTCTGTATCTGTGATGTCTGTGACTGCCATGTATGTCTGTGAAGGTATCTCTGTATCTGTGTCTGTGTTGTCAGTGGTACCTGCACGGACGCCCTCCCGCAGCCCGGCACACTGTACAGCAGCTCGTCCGCCGTGCTGTGGGATTTGGGTAGCAGACACGGATAGAAGTCATCCTTGTATTTGCTCTTGAAAATCTGCCAGGAGGAGGAGACTGACAGTTATTGGGGGGGGGGGGGTAGACAGACATGGGACACCAAGAAAACCACTGGGGCCACGACCTCAGACCTTGGTGAAGTTCCAACGCTGGATGAAGTGGCGCGCTACGTCCCGGGCAGCCTTCCCGTGCAGGGCGGCAGCGAAATCACGCCAGGGCATGCGGGGCACTTGGCCGCGGTCGATATTATCTGGGGGTGGGGATTCCCAATACTCAATACAAGAAGTGCTTACAGCAGGGGAGGGAACTCTCCCAAATAAAACATTTTCTATAATTTCTACTTTTACCAAAATATGTTTGTAAGGGAGCTGAAACAGGATAAAAAAAAACAGGCCATGGAAAGAAAATAATAATAATAATAATAATGAATAAATAACATTGCGTAAAATAATGTGTAAACAGATTAGTCATATTTGTTTTAACCCTTATTTGCCTCAAACAGATCTTAAACCTGCCAATTTTTCTCAGGAAACAACCAGGAGTAACTCGATTAAGAGTCATTAATCCAATCAAGCATTTAGTTAAGTCAAATTTAAAGAAGACAGCTTTGCTGTACAGTTTGCTGGTTTCTAGCCGTGCACACACACACACACACACACACACACACACACACCTTCAAAGGGGCGGTCCAGTTGCACCCAGTCTTTGTTGATGAAATTGCTATAGTCCTTCCCCAGCCACAGCTGGCTATTTTGCGACAGGTCCTCCGACTCAGTCGGTGCCGGTTCTGGCTCGGACCTGGCAGTCAGAGGCTGGGAGGCCAACCCGTCTGGATCGCTGCCCACTGTGTCGCAAGCCTGGCAGGGGCAGGACCAAGAGTGCACAATGGAACTGGTACCAGCAAGTCTGTAAAACCCATCAATTTGCATCGCCACAATCATGGGACAATCGTCTACCCAGATGCTTTGTGGTACTGGTAGCCCAGCCATATAAACCCATCACGGCACGACAGCACAAGATCTGCCTCACCTCTGACCCTGAAATGTGATTTGGCGTCTCTGTGACTGACAAGTCTGTCAGCCTATAGTGGCTGTCGTCCCACCTCCCGAAGGCCAGGTCAATTCCGCCGACGAATGCCACGGACTGGTCAATGATTACTACCTTCTCGTGGTGGGCCCAGAGGAAGACAATCACAGAAACATGATCGGGATGTCGCATGACCTGGGTGGTGGGGAGGAGGGGGAGAGAGCGATGAAGGACAGGGAGAGACTAAGGAGAGCCGTGATGAAAATATCAATGTCAATTTGAATTTGAAGGGATTAAAAACAACCACGTCCTTGTGCACTGAGTGCTGGAGGTCAGGTATGGGGAAGGTGTTTCCTAGCCATGATGGACTCCAAAATACCCAAAGTGAATGGAGAATTAACCCCAAATTAGCAAGATGGCCTCCTGTCACAGCTCTGAAGAGCTGAAGCGGAGAGCAATTCACTGAGGGGCAGTAGAGGATATTTGCATAATGAAGCAGTGCATTGTGGGTGCCCGTGCCACCTTGATGTTGGGGTGCATGTTCATCAGGGATCTCTTGCTGTAGTCGCTGTTGATGCCCAGCGCCAGCTCCACCTCCTTGTACAGCAACACGCACACCTTTACACCTTGCTCCTGCAGGGGGTGCCAGAGAGATGGGGAGGGGGAAACCTTAGAGTATTAAAACTAGGCTGTGGGGCACAGAGAAAGGGTGGGTAAAAACGAATGGAGGGGTTCACTGATAAGAGTCAGGGGCCTCACCGCCTTCCGCTTCAGGATGCAGTCGAGACGCCAGTAGTTGTCCGTAGCTGGTCGCTTTAAGTGAACTTCAGGGCTCAGCCTGGGGACAAGGAAACATGCAGAGAAAGAGAAGAAGTACAGAGGTTTCTGCAGGCTGTGGCGTGTGTCAGTCAGCGTGTGTCAGTCAGCGCGTGTCAGTCAGCACCCGCCATCAGTCCAGCGGCGGCAGCACGCGGCTCACATGCTCCGACTCACCACCAGTCAGTGATGAAGATCTCCTGCTTGGCCTGTTCCAGCGCGTCAGCCAGGTCCGAAAAGTAGCCAGAGCCGTTCACATACCTGCAGGTGCCAAGGAGCCAGGTTACAAATGGCCGTCCAGCCCACCAACGGCTGACCGGCTCGCTAAAGGCCGTTCGGCCCACCAACGGCTGACCGGATTTGGTGGTCAGCACCGCACTGTTCACCAGCGTGAGGAGCGTAGTCCCTTCTAAGGAGTCCAGAAAATTTGGTCCATGCCTTTTATCAATTGTTTTACTATTCAAAATAATACAAAATCACAAATCCAAAGCTAACTGTCTGCTTTATGGAATATAGAAAAAAGAATCACCAATTAATTCTGTCAGCTAGCCGACTTCACAGAAAACTGTGGTACTGTTGTATGCTTCTAGATTCCTAACTCCACCCACCAGCCTCTCCCACCCCAGGATCCTCCACTCACCACTTAGTGAGGGTGTCCTCGCGGGAGGGGGCGAAGCCCCCGAAACGCTGCACCTGCAAGAAGTCGCAAGGTTCGGACAGCTGGCGGATCTCGTGACTCCACCACTGGGCTTGACGGTAGCTGCTGCACTTAATGACCAGGGTTCTGGGGGGAGGGGGGGTGGTAGGTGGGAGTCATACAGGAAATCATGGTTAACAGAAAGACAGGAAATCATGAACAAAAGCATAATGTAAACACACCTCCCCTGCCCGTCTTACCGGGCGTAGTTCTTGATGCAGACGCCGTGCTCTGTGTCGGTGTAGCACCGGCCCACCAGAACCTCCAACTCGGGGTCGAAGAGCAGCACGAAGGAGATCACCTCGGCGTCCGGGCTCATGTACATCAGGAAGGAGTCCTTCACAACCAGCCAGCGTCGCGACCAGCGGAAGCAGAGCTGGTGATGGCCGAAGCAGTTCAGGCCCAGGATGCGGTGACCCCCCGAACGCTTCAGGACGAAGCCCTCCCTGACAGGGAAGGGGCGGGGCCAACATCAGCTGTCAATCACTTTGTTTTAGCCAATTGGGAGCGAGTGTAACCATGAACAAGAAGTGGGCTGAGCCAGGAGGAAAAAGTGGGAGGGGTATCCCACGGATGGATAAAGATCTGGGACCAGCCCGTTACTTGTAAATACTCTAGATACACACACACACACGCTGCGCACACACACACACGGCAGGAGTGTGAAACTTACAGCCCTTTAGGTCCCAGATCTCTGATGAAGGAAAGAGGACTAACATCCAGGAACTCCAGCTGGAAGGAGAACAGAAATCAGATGGGGAGGCAGTGTGCAGTGCATGTGTATATGTGTGTGCATGCAGTGTGTGTGTGTGTGTGTGTGTGTGTGTGCATGTGGGCAGTGTGTGTGCAGTGTGTACTGTGTGTGCAGTGCGTGTGTGCAGTGCGTGTGTGCAGTGCGTGTGTGCAGTGTGCCCACTGCCTCACCATGCGGTGGTAGTTCCTGTAGAAGCTGTGCTCCAGCAGCCCGTTCAGATACTCCTCAAGGTGTTTCTGCAGTGATGGGACAGGACATGCAGTTTTTGGGACAATAAACACAGAGAATGCAAGTGTGAGAGCGTGTGGGCGTCGCCCCACGTGGGGGCCATACCGGCTTGCTGGACGCCCTCCTGCCTCTTTCATTGTTATGCAAAGATGGCATCTCCTCTGGTAGGGCGCCAAGTTCCTGCCTCTGAGTAGCAAACCTGGGGGGGAGGAGGCACAGGAGGTGGGATGAGAGAGAGAGAGAGAGAGAGAGAGAGAGAGAGCGGAGGAGTGGATCACAGATGGAGGTGTCCGACCTTCCCAGGGGGAGGAAGCTGATCATCATCTTGTGCTTGTAAAGGTCGCGGTGCAGGTCCTGGAAGTGCTTGTACTTTCGCTTGATAATCCAGTTGAAGTCGCCGTGCATCAGGTGGACAGTGTACAGTGTGGACACACGCACCTGGGGGAGGGGGGGCGGTTACTGCAAACTGCGTCTCACGTTCTTATAAACAAAACCATCAGAAACGCGAGAGGGCACAAGGTCATTCCGCCAGACTTGCTGCTTTTATTAATGAAAATCTGATTCATACAATTCTGACCAGTGATGACTCAGACACATTTGCTGCATTTCCAGTATTGGGACGGTCTGTGTCTAAACTGCGACGCTGCTCTGTCCGGGGCCACGAGGCCGCTGACCGAGGAAAGCAGAACTGCCATTTCAAACTAACTAATGCAGTTCACAGCCCCTCCTAGACTGAAAGATCCATTAAAAGACACACATGAAGCCCGAAAAGGACCATAAACAGCAGTCAGTGTTTCGTAAAATATCTCTGTTCTCGCAGTATTCCATGCTGCGCTCTGATTGGCCGACTTGTGCGCGCTCCATGACAGTTGTTTGGCTTTTGCTACTTCCCCTATTAAATGTACAAGAATGCATTTTATATGCATGAATATTAATAATCCATTATGAAACAGTGAGTTTGCGTGCACACACACTCTCACACACACACACACACACACAATATGACACAGCCTGACCTTGGATTGTGTGGTGTACCTCTCGGTGACGTCCACCTTGCAGGTCACCGGGATCCCCCGCAGAAACAGCGTCACCCCGACCTCATGGAAGGCACGCAGACGGTGGACCAGGATGAAGGAGTGCACTTCTGTGGCACACACACACACACACACTTGTCAGTGCGGCACACACAAGCAGCCCACCAGACCTCACCCACTCAGCTCCATCAGGCAAACAGCAGTAATGCTCACAGCTTAGAACCTTCTTACTGTCAGAGATGGATTTAGCGGTTTGTGCAGTCATGTGACATCTTCCTCCAAACTTATACCCGGTCACCACGTAACTGAACCCACAACATTCTTATTAAGAGGCTTGAAAGCTCACAGCATGTGGCTCAGCCCTGTGTCGCCACTCACAAATAGGTTAACGCTCCCCTTCATGTTACTTGGCTGGTTCTGATTGGGTTAAACCAGCCACCGATTGTCAGTGCCGGTAAATCCCACCCGCGGTGGGGTTCTCTCACTGCCACACACTGCGACCCAGTTGCCTCCGTGAGAAATTCATATCCTTACCGCCATGCTGCATCAAGGAGTCCAGCTCGTCTTGGGTCAGGGGGCTGTCGTCCTTAGAGTAGAACCTCTTCATCAGCCCGTGGGCATGGGACGCCTCCACTACGGGCTCCTCCACGTTAGCCATGGCGTTGGACCTACCCTGCTCTCTGTCACTCTGCAGAGGACAAGGGACACAAATGTAGCTGAGGGTGGGAGCTGAATTCCTTCCGGGGTGGACCCGCCATGTTGGCGGTCATCGTTAGTTTAGGTCGACGCACAGCGAGTCCCACAAGATTGTAAACACTGCCTGCTTTTACTTTATGCAAATCACATGCTTTTAAAGTGATTGCTAAATGCTGTAGTGCTCCGAATGGGACAGCGGGGGATGACTGGCATTGGTGTCAGGAAAATGGGCGGGGTCTGGAAAGAGCCAATCAGATGTAAACCATGTGACTACACCAGAATTCAGCTCAGAGAGGAGAATGATGACAAACCTCAGTAAACGCAGGAGGAGGGGAACACAGACTCACGAGTTACGAGTTTATAAATACACACGCATAAACAAACCTGCACCACATAAACCATCATTCCACAGTCTGCAGATTTCATTATTCAAACACACCTACTACACCTGGTAATTAGGTGATTAAGGCGTGTTTGAGCAGGGAAATCTGCAAAATGTGTTGGATTCTGGCCCTCCAGGACCGGAACCTTAATGTAAAGTAATACAGTATGTCATTTAAGCTACCCCCATTAACCAAAGGCTTCAAAAATAATTATACATCTGTGGTTTATATATATTTAAAAAAACTATAAACAAGGGCAGACAGCCTAAACAATCCTATATTCAGCCAAAAGAAAGATGACATGTATAGACACTAACCAGCTATGCAATCAAATAATTAAAAAATTAACTTATGAAAAAAATTAACATAACCAACTGTAACTGTAAATTTAAGTTGATTTTAAAAACTGAGCTGCATTTTAGGGCCTCTGACAAACATGACTCCAAAAGGTCCAGTTTATACCTGAATAACTGTTTATTACGTCCTGTGTCCCAGTCTCTGTGTCTCATTCTCTCTCTCTCTGACAAACACAAGGTCATGATCATTGTCAGATCAATGCTCTGCGGGATAAAGGTGAGCTTCTTGGAAAGGCGCACCTATGCAGCTTGCACAACTGATTGTGCAGGAGCATTCTTACAAAATAAATCACCACACAGATAACAAAACATGAATACCAAACCGCTGGAACTATTTTATTTATTTCAAAGTAAATATCCAAACAAGTTTTATTCCTGTTTTCAATGCCCTTGTAGAGAAGATTCTCCCAAAACAATGTTAGGTTAGGAAACAACTCCAGAGATCCCTTACTCTTCTGTAACACGGCAAGCACAATAACACAGTTTGCACGGTTTGCTTATTTCAAAAGCCATAGACCAAACAATCCAGGGAAAATGTGTACAAGTTCAACGGGTCAGACAAGTCTCACAAGCCGCAGAAACAGGGCACGGCACAGGAAGCCAGGACTACCCGCTTTGAACCGAGGAACAGGAGACAGATACCGGCATATCCCGCACCTGTCAAAAGGCAAATGGGTCCGATCCGGAATGTGATTACTTGCGAATCATGCCTGTTCACTTGCTGTTTCGGGGTGGGTGACATCTGGGAAATTTTGGTGTGTACGTCTTTTCTCATTATGCAACTTCTTCACCGTTATTACTGGAAGCAATGGCAATAAAATAAAATTACCATAATCAGTAAAGCAGACGCTTGAGGCGGCCGTTTAGAACACGACTTGTACGTTTCAGCCGCAGTCTGCCAACACTGTGACGGAAAAAAAAGGTCAGACACCGAGCTGACAAGTCCCACGGCCGAAAAGCCTAAACACACACCCTGGCTTTTGGGCGGAGAAAGGCGCCGGCTGGCGCGTTCACCACGGGTGACGGATTTCGCCAGCAACCTTTTAAAGGCTCTGCCACGTGCGTGCGCGGGCACTGGCTGCTGATTGGCCACCTTCCACGCTGCCAAGACAACCGGCTTTTAGGACAGACACGTACCTGACTACGGGAGCCGGCTCGGGTTATGCCGGTCCCATTGTGCCGTCAGATTCCGGTGTCAGACCCGATTTCCCCGGGTCTCTCTTTCCTTTCCACCACACGCTTCGTCACTGAAACGCACCTATACTCCCAGGCTATCTGATACTTGCTCGAATGGGATATCATTCAACATTAATAATTAAGGTTATTTCTAAGTCACTCACGACATTTCTATCAAACTATGCTTCAGATACAGTAGGTCCCTCATTTTAATTTCTTTTTCTAAATCATCACATCCCAGGCAGAATAATGCATCTATGCAAAACAGAGAAATCCAACCATATTAACGCCATATGACCTGAGACCAACTAAGACGTTGCACTATAGCGATACACGAATATATTGTACTCGTGAATCACTTGTACAAACAACTCCATTTTTCACTGAACAAATCAATTTATTATGTAACCCAAATTATAACAGCAGCAATACGGACATTTTACTAGTACCGGTACAATTTTACGTTCATTTAAATACTATCTATATAACAATATAAAAAGAAGTAGCCCAGATGGAAAATAGTTTTTATCACTGTCTACCGCAATGTAGCTTCAACATCTGACTCATCCGTCTCATGTGAGTCTGGTTGTTATATTCAGCCATTGAATCTGCTTCTCTCCTCTTTCCCAAATCTGCACATATTTACCATGACTTACAGAAATGCCAGACTAAGTTAATTATCCACTTGAACGACGATTGGGGACGTTCGAGCCCAGTGACTTGCAGCTGGAAACATTTCTGGGCCTCTGACTACACAGTGACCGAACCGAACCGGACCAAAACAAGCCATGATTGTTCCCAGAAAACACAATCCCTGCTCAACAGGGCGCTTGGCCACCTCTCCCGGGACAGCGCCAGCTCGCCGCGGCCATCCTCTCCCCGCACCGCGGATAAATGCCACTGGCGGCTAACAAGACAGACGAGCATGAGAAGTGCTACATCCTTTTAAAATCACACCTATGCTTTACTCTTCAAAACCTTTGCGCATCTCAACCCCTCAACGACAGCAGAAGGTTGTTGCCATAATTTGCTAAGCTGGGAGGTAACGTACACGATGTCGGACACCTATGTGCTGAAGGGGGCACGAGCCGGGGATGCCTGCCAGTTTTACCAGAAAGTTTCAGCGCATTAATTCCTTCATATTCATGTACTTACTTTTCCGATAAGCTTAGCTTGCTGCCTAGTTAGACCCGTCTTTCCCGCAACTTCGCGTGTGGATATCTCTCCTTCTCCATTTGTTTTTTCGGCCCATTTTAATCATTCCCCACCCAAAGTTTCTCAGGGAAAACGTGAGTGACTGAAAAGTCTTACCGTATTTCTGCGAATAGCTCAGCTTCGTAAAAAGAACAGCACGAAATCCGTGTTTTCCCCACGAAACCCGCGAGGCGGTCTGAGGTTTCACGAGCCGCGGAAGGGAAGCCGAGCTGATCCTGTATCCTGTGTGGCGACTCCTGCGGCTGGATTATGATTTCAGACTCGCCTGTCGCATCTTTACGGGGAAATAAAAGAACAGGCGGCAGACCCCACTAGCATTTTCACGTGATGGTCAGTCGCAACAGAGGTCCCATCCCTACGGTGTGCTTCCTTCTGACTACATTTCACTCGCATGCGAAGTATGTCAAAAAATCCACTGCCTGGACCTGACCAGAATAGATATAATTCGCCCACTTATGGGTTGCAAAACAGAGATGGAAACAACAGCCGATAAGGGCATTGAAAAGTACAGTTTTGCTCATGTATGTGGCGGGTAGGTGGAGAAGGTACAAGTTTGCCTTTGGGTGTGGTCTCCTGAAGTTCGCCGCTCCCGAACGCCCCCCCCACGTACTGCCCATTTCACCACACCCAGCGTGGCTCCCTCGCCGCGCCCGCATCTAAAAATGATCTAAGGTGGACTTCTCCATTGGTCGAGATATCGGCTGCGCATGACAGACTGGCAGGGAAGCCAGCCAATCAGAATTCCGCGTAAGCCAAAGGGTGGGACCGCTAGGAAAGGCGTGTCCCGGCAACACCTGGCAAGCTAACTTGGTAGTGTATGAAAGCTTGGCCTTGGACTCATGATGAAGTGCTCTCCAACCCGCTTTAGATAAATCACGCAAACAGACTTCGTCTACGGAGCATGCAAAGAGCAGTGCCAGCTGAGGGTCAAAAGTACTCTCTCACTGTAGCAAACTTCAATTTCCTGCAATTGATTTCCAGGATTTCCTTACATTCCAGTGACTCTCATCACTAGTGCCACTATAATGTACAGACGTTCAGTCAAGAGCTCCCGTACATCCAAAGTACAGGCACTGAGATTGAGAAAGATATTCGTGTGTGTACGTATTATAAGCAGCGTAAATAACTTTGTCGTAACGGCTGAGTTTTCATAACCGCTGTTTATAGTGAGCAACAACATCAATTATATGTTTTGATGGTTTTGCCTCAGGAAATGGCCATAATAGGGTCAGGAAGAGACAACTGAATTACTGTTTTTCTGAACTGCCAAAACACTAAACGTCATTCTTGGAACAATCCCATCAAATGGCAAAACTCATTTATTGAATCAGTCACTCATTCGGTGAAACTTTAAACAGTGCTCACCTAGTTATACACAATTTGCAGATCTGAATCAACCGTTTTGCAAAACTCTAAACACATTCTCATTCATGTAAACACATTTTGCACTAAGGGGAACTTTGATGCAAAATGGAAAACACAGGCTGCAAAAGTTAAACACGGCCAATAGTGGACTTTTTATTTTGTCCTGTACAGTAACTTTGTGGAGTACTGAATACTACAAACTTAATTTACATATTGCTTTGAGTGTAATTGTATACACACAGTTTTACTAAACAACATTTTTTCACTATATTCATTTGGTTTCCAATTTCCAACTCAAAGATGACAAAAACCACATTCATAGTAAACATGTTTCTCTTTACGCCTATAACAGTTTTGACTCGTATTGTTTTAAAATTTTTGCAATAGTGTGTAATGACTGCTCAGTAATGTTTTTGGACTGACTGGCTTGATGCATGATCTTAAAGCAGAGTTGGGTTTTTAGCTGAGAAAAATGGTCTTGAGTAGATTAATTGTTCGATTTTGCAAGATGAGTCAAAGGTTTTGCCAATGTAGATTGAAGATTGGGTTTTGTGTTTACTGTTCTGCGAAGAGAATGGAAGTTTCAGGAAATGTGAACATTAATGAACATGCATTAATCAGTACAGCTGCCACAGCACGCACAGACTTACCTCACGGGCTGGAGTTTACTTACTGAAAATATCCAGTCATTCTGAAACTATACCTAGCGCTTCAAACCCAAACCATTCCGGATATCCAAAACAGGACGAAAACAAATCGTTGTTATGGCTACCGTTTTTTGTATCGCGTTTTTGTCATCACTGTAATACTTAATATAGTAGGCCTACTTAGGTTAAGCTCCATCTGGCGTCACATTTTCTCATTTGCAATATATCTGCGCAGCGATCTCAGCTTGTACCCCGGAGTTGAGGCTCTCCCGGCTAATTACTGGGGTCCGTGGGGGTCCGCCGTCCCCGTTTCTGCCGCATATCACAGTCCTGACAGATGTGTCGGCAGCGGAAGAAAATAAACAGGGTGTAGCGCCTAAAAATGCCGCCGGGCAGATTATTCTAGTGTCATTATTATGTCTGTTTGATTTAAAATGACACATTTATTGCCCCTCCTGCCGCAATTAACCTTCCCCAAGGCGACACCCAGAATCAGATTCTGATTCCGGTACACAGATACTGGGGAAATTAGTGTTTCAACACTACATTGTCAGCATGTAGAGATTTTCACACGCATCAGGATGATCAGGCATAACTGTGCAGCGCCTTTGCGGCAGTTCCTAACACTTCACGGCAGCGACGGGAGTTCAGTTCCCTACGGCGTTTCGAGAGTGTCTTTGTACCCGTCGTGCTGGACTACATTTTTCCTTCCGAGTTTATTTAACATGCACGTCTCTACAAGTTATTTATTAACTGCGGTGTTGTGGCACTGGCAAACTGCGCCACAGTACATGATTACGAAACGCATAACTTTATATCGTTAACATACGGGATGAATTACAGTTGCGTCGTTGAGATGTGGGTGCATATAAAATAGTACAGTAGCTATGCTGTACTATGTACTATGTACAGTAGCTATGCTATGATTTGAAAGCAAGACGTGAAAATGATCTAAAACGAGTGGCCAATAAAATGGATAAACAGTGGCATCTGGTGGTAGCATTGCGTCAAGGTCAATTTGCGCCAACTTCTGTTTGAAATTTTAAAGCTTTTTAAAGAGATCAAGTAAGTCTGTTTAATAGGATAGTGTCTTCCACTAAGGAATTCGATGCCACTGCAAATTTGTCCACATCACTTCAAAGCAACTAAATGACCATTTTCAAAAAATTAACATCTGATTTTTTTCAATAGGGGAGAGTGGGTTGAGTTGTGCCAGTTTTTCCTGAAAGTGACTTTAAAGCGAGGCCATGACAGTAATACTTCCAAATAAAATATGTACATATATTTCAGGGTGTGGTGCATCCCTGGAAACAATCTCTTTGGATCTGAAATACAGTATTTAAGAAATATAGCTTTCTGAAAAAAGTGGTCTCGTGGCACAACTTGCCCCCGGTGCCGGGTAAGTTGTGCTTTTGGAGAGAATACATTGGGGTAAATTGTGCCTTTGATTATTGAAGTAAAACAGTATATTTGGATCTCAGGAACTGTAATTCTATATAAAAGCTGGAGAAATTCAATACAAAATTGCTCATTTAAGGTTTATTTAAAGTTATTTTACAACATCAAAGGCCAATTTTCTACAAGCCCATTGCGCCACATGAGCACACGTTCAGAACAAAATGAAATCCAAATGAAGACCAAATTGACTGCAGTTCTCTTCACAGATATGGCCGCCTACATGACATCCCACTTGTTGAAGCTATAGGGGAATATAAATTTCTGCTCCCTTCTGGCTGTACCACCAAGTCTTTGTGGTGTGGGTAGTTTCTCATGCACATCTTCTCTAGGGATGCACATCTCCTTCATCGTTTTCTTTGAAAGTGAAGATGGGCTTTCCATCCACAGACCTCATTACTTCCCCTTCTCCACCTCTTTCACTGCTCTGTCCATCTCATCTAGAGGAGTGGGAGCCCTGCCTGTCTTCCTTTTATAACTCCATGGCATGATGGTCTATTTCTATTTTTGGTATAAAATTAAGAATGTCACAGTTTTAGTGATAAAATTTAAGAATATAAAGTACGATTACAATAAAATAATATGTTTAAAGTATTCATAAGTGGGGGTGAGTTATGGTACTGGCACAACTTAACCCAGGCCCTTTGGCACAAATCATCCCAAATGCATCATCCAGCAGTTTTGAGCTAACATCATGCTGGCTGTATAGACTCGCAGTGCAGCTTACCAAAGCACTAAAACATGCGTGAAGTGTTTTCAAACTTGTCTATAACTGTTCAGGCACAACAATCAAAAAACCTTGATCATAGAAATTTTACTTTGAAAGGCAAAAAACAGTTTTTTGAACTTAAATGTGCTTACCTCTCATGCAATTAGGCTCTCGTCTTTGCAGGATGAGTAAAATGGCTGACTGTGGTCACATGACCAATTTCTTCTATGTTTCCCTAGAAACAGGGGGTGGCACAACTCCCCCCCCCCCCCCCCACCACAAATCACCCCACTTTCCCCTACTGTTTGTGAGCATTAATTAGATCAGGTTTAGAGAAAATGAATGTTTTGATGACAACATGTGAAATTTGCCTTAATTGAGAACAAACAGAGGAAAGACATCCTCATGACACAAAGTTGAATTTTATGAAACTTAATTTTGTACAATTGTTTGATTTCGTCTAACAAGGCCTTGCAGATGGACACAGTCTCAGCTCTGTACACAAACATTCGCAAGTCAAAGATTTAAGCATTATTATTAAAAATGTATACAATAAATTTTTGCCTGACATAATATGAACATTTAGGCAAGTAATTATCGTGAACTATATAAATGGGTAAGATAATAATAATAATAAAATACTATGTATCGATAACAATATAATTATAATTAACATTGTTCTCGTGATTAACTAGGAAGACGTGGAGAAGAAGTTTAGATTGTAAGATTGAGGTGTGGCACCAGCTGCAGAGGTTATTTTTGCAGAGCCACTAGGGGGCACCGTGAGGTCCCGCTCACTACGGTGGGACATAGGGCTTGTTCTCCCCTGGGAAGGGGAACTCAGGAACCTGGTTGAAGTGTCCCGTCAGGAAGATGGCCACTGTCCCAATGGAGAACAGCAGGAGGGCCGCCCAGAAGCACAATTTATCCATCATCTGGCCAATCAGCACCCAGCTCTCTGTCTCCTGAGGAACAGGTAGAAGTGGGCCAGAGAGAGAGAGAGAGAAACAGAGAGGGGGAGAGAGAGAGCAAGAGAGGAAGGAAAGGAGCACATGTGAAAGAGACTCCTGGTTTATATACGGAAACACGAGCCACAGATACGGATCCATCGGAAGCGCAGGGTCAGGGTAGCTGTGGCTGACAGTGTTTGATGGGGGACGTATTGACGCTCGAGTGCCGAATTAATGCGAATGGATAAGGAAAAGTCTAAGGTATCAGGTGCCCAGTTTAGAAAAAAGGAGGAAAGAAGAAAAAGAGAAACACATAAAAGATAAAGGAATGCAGCACTTTCATCTCTTTATGGGTATAATGCATGTAATGAAACAGGCTAATGTCACACTAGTATAATCAGATTCTCTTTTTTAATTTTTTAATTTATATACCACAGTTAGTTGTCTTTGCTACTTCTTTTGATATTTATGAATTTTATTTGTATATATTTTTATATTTCTAAAGTTTAAATTGCATCATTATTTGTTTGCATTGGTCCAAATGTCTTAATAGAAATGAAAATGTTCTTTTTTTTTGACAGGGGAACAGAGGATGGAAGATCCACACACATTTATTTTGGCACGGAGGGGGTTGTATAGGGTTAGCTGTGGGGGGGGTCCTCAGGGCGCCACTCAAACTAAAACCATCACTGATATGGAAAAAATCATAGTAACGCAAAGAGTTTACACCTCCAGGCCCCTAGAGGGCCTCAGCATCAGCTCATACCAGCTTCAATGCAGTATTTTGCCCCGGGTCTCAGTTGCAGGTCAGGCCCTAATTAAACCGGCTCACGTTCTCTGCCGACTGCTGGATGGCAGCCCCGAATAATCACTTACGGATCCGATGTCGTTCTGCTCCCTGGTGCTCTGCGCGATGAAGTTGCAGGCGTCCACGCACTCCTTGATCTCCGGGGCAGCTTGCGCTAGACTCTTGTACAAGCTGGCTGTCGTGCTTACATCAATACCGTCCACTAGGGGGCACCAAAGACACACGGTCAGCCTGGTGTGGTTTTGTAGCGTACCCTAGAGTTAATTAATAAGACCTAATCCTAATCCTGACCATTTTAATTCTAGCTCTCCTTTCCATCCCGTCCTTTGAACCTAAACAGACCTTTCAACATCCCTTATTTTCCTTTTCCTCTTTAGATAAAAAAGTTTTTGTTTTTACTTTAGCATATTTAAAATTGTTTTTTTTTGTAGCCAGCTAGGATGTCGGGGGGCGGGGTCTTGTCACCACGCGGAGCAGTAGCTGCCGGTGACGGCGCTCTCACCAAAGGTGTTTGTGAGGCCGTGACGCTCCCTCTGGCTGTTGAATATCATCTCGCTGCGCGACTGCTTCAGCACGTACTCCTCTGCCCGCTGCATGAGGCCGAACGAGCTGCGGCGGCGCTGCGGCAGCGCCTCCTCCTGGCCGTCGTCCACCAGCGACGACATTCCCAGGAAACGAGGGACGCACTCCAGAAAAAGCTGAGGGGGTAGAGATAATGGCGGGGTACATGGCGTCACTGCAGCCAAAAGCCACTCGATATTGTCCCCGCTAATACAGGAAGATATTTACTGACACTAAAGAGAGCAATTCAGCACACTTTGTTAATGGCTAAACTACCTACTACTATTTTAACTTTCAAATAGGTTCAATTGATTCACACTTTTTAAAATATAGTACACAAATCACTATTTTTATAGTAATATTTAGTTTTGACACAAAATAACAAGACCACTCAGGAACAGTTCCCTAAAGTAAGGCTTCGTACACAGAGATAGGTAAAGGAACGGGTGATTGCATTATCTTATTGATTTTGTCCCTCACCTAAGAGATTTCAAACACGTTATGGCTGATGAAATCAAACATCATAGACATGTTAAGATGTCAATGAACTCTTTGACTGGTCATTAAAAGAGCTTATTAACCAATTGGTAAGTTACAACAATGATATATCAGTGCGTGAATACAATAATACCTTCATGACATTTCTGCCATGTAATTTTTACATAACAGTTGATTACAGCTGTTTAAAGGTATTCCATTTGAATAGGGTACAGAGTGCTTAACACAGACTAATCCCTTAAGTCCACATTAGCCCCACATTCTGCTTGTTACTTACAGTGATGGCAGCGATAAAAGACCATGCAGACTTATGCATGTGCAACATCGGCCATCAGGTTCATACAGCAGCCAGGAAGGAAATGTCGTACCCAAGGAGCCGCTGGCCACCTCTGGCCATTACGCATGTGCAAGTCCCGCTAAACAAATTAGCTAGTCACATGCAAGTAAAACTGATGGCGAAGCCTTCCTGCGCTGTGGATTGACATTAGCAGAGAAAAATCAATCAACCAATCAATACATGAATAACTGATAGTGGCGTGCAATGCGACATACGTGTTTGATGCAGTGTGACATGTTGTGGGTGCTGGGACTGCGGAGAGAGTAGTTCAGCACGATGATGCAGTTCATGACGATGAGGGTGGTGACGGACATGACGAAGATGACGTACCTGTGGGGAGGGGATAGATGAGGGTGGGCAACAGGGAAAGAAAGAGAGAGGGGGAGAGAGAAGGGAGGGGGATCATCAGCAGGAACACATGGCGCAAAGATCTCACAACGCACGAGACCTGGAATAAGTCCAACTCAACACAAAGGAAGCCTATAGTGTAAAATTTCATAGTTAATATGTACATGATATATGATACCAAAGCAATACTAAAGGATATTAATCTCTAGATATTTAATTCCAGAAATGGTTAGAGAAGGTAAGATAATAACAATCTATTAAAAATGTATAGAACCAACCCAACTATGTATAACCTAAATAACCAGACTGCTATTACTGATATGGTGAAGTCCACCTTTATATGTAAATGATTGACAATCAGGAGAAAGTCTGTCCCTGTAAGAATCAGAATTTCAGTGTAACCAGCGAGGTGCCACAAGGCTCTGTCTGGGGTCCGTTACATTATTCAATCGACGTTACCGGCTTAATAACCAGTTAAACTGGCAGACAACATGACATTAGCATGTAGTGAGCATGTTTTCAGTATTTCCTTATCTTCTGCTTATGGTGTCTACGTGTAATATTCGAGAGTAGGACAGCAGCTTCTCTTAGATCTTAGCTAGCAATCTCGGCGCTTTGGCAGCTTATCGATAAGCCCACTTGCTGGCCGCCTGTAGGAATTAACGTGCAGGAATCAAGAGTCAGGTACAGGGATGTGGACAGAGGACAGGAGAGCAATGTGGTTTGATGCAGGCACAGTGGGATGAAGGGACAGTGGGATGTAGGGACAGTGGGATGTAGGGACAGTGGGATGTAGGGACAGTGAGATGAAGGGACAGTGGGATGTAGGGACAGTGAGATGAAGGGACAGTGAGATGAAGGGACAGTGGGATGTAGGGACAGTGGGATGTAGGGACAGTGGGATGAAGGGACAATGAGATGAAGGGACAGTGAGATGAAGGGACAGTGGGATGTAGGGACAGTGAGATGAAGGGACAGTGGGATGAAGGGACAGTGGGATGAAGGGACAGTGAGATGAATGGACAGTGGGATGTAGGGACAGTGAGATGAAGGGACAGTGGGATGAAGGGACAGTGGGATGTAGGGACAGTGAGATGAAGGGACAGTGGGATGAAGGGACAGTGGGATGAAGGGACAGTGGGATGTAGGTGAGCAGGGCCCTAGTACCAAGGGACACTAGCTTGCTGGGACTTAGACTCACTTCCCAATGAGAGGTACTGAAAGAGAAGTTTCTGGAATCTTCTGGGAAACAAGGATCAGGAAGACAGTCTGAGCCAACAGGACGGAGATGGAGACAGTCAGCTTCTGTCCGCCCGCTGGGGGGGGTAGAGAAGGAGGGAATAAAACAGGAGGGAATGATGGAGAAAGAGAGGAGGGTGAGGTATAGGGAGGAAGAGGAAAGCAGGAGAACCAGCCCAACACAATCAAAACCACATGCAGAAGGGGAGTGTATCGTGATAATGGTGACCATGCTTACCCTGCGCAGGCAGGAAGTAGGCCAGCACTACCAGCGCGGAGATAAGGGAACAGGGAAGGATGATGTTGATGATGTAGAAGAGCGGCTTCCTCTGTATGATCAGGTTGAAGTACACCTCCTGGTACTCCAGGTCGTCCGGCGTGTACCGGGGGTTAACCAACTTCCTGGCCGGCCGGTGCCTGATCGCCCACTCTCCATTCTCTGAGGGAGGGACCAAGGGGGAAGGGATCCTGTTGAAGGCTCCAAGATTTGACTGACGATCTATAACGCCACAGATATGTCAGCAACCAAAAAAGTGGGGGCACCAGTGTGGCTGTAAGTTCGGAAGACTAGCCAAAAGTCAACAAGCGCTTTGCATTGCAGGGGTTTCGTTAAATAACGACTAAGAATAAATTATATGGAATGAACATTGTAATTTAGAAAGATCATCACAGGGAGCTCCAGTGTGTGGCCGGCATTTTAAGGTTTGACAGACTGCTGAGCAGATGGATAAGAGGAGAGACTCTGATGTTAGACTGTAGGACAGGATTCCTCACGCTCTTTAGTAAAATGATCCACCCAGAATAACACCATCAGATCACTCCAGGGTGATTCCTTTAGCACCAGAAGATCATACCAGTGAAGGCCTCTGGGTCGATGACCACCCACTCAATGGGCTGCTCAGTGTCCAGATCTATGGCTAAAATGAGGTCCACCTCCTTGGCGCTGTAGGTCTGGGACCTAATGAGGGAGAGCAGTTTAGCAGCCACGTTGAACAAGAAGGTCACCGCCATATCTCACGATGCACTTTCATGCTGAAAATTCAAGGTGGAAGGAAGCATAGCTAAGGAAACAGATGGTTGTTGATACAAGTGCCAACAGGGGTTCTGCTGTTGTACCTTTCAGAAAGGTAAAGTTACTTTAGAGAGAGGAAGAACCTAAACGTAACTGACTCCCAAGCCCTAACCATTTAAGCAGCTAACCCTAAACCGCAATGCTAAACTCTAACCCTTAACAACTAATTTACAGCAGTGCCTCCGACATCATAAATGGCTGTCTCCTCATCATGCAACACATAATAGGCCAATAGTTTGTACCCTCGCTATCTACATGTTCTGCAGGACAGCACACAGCTCCCTATAAACAGGGATCTCCATGACTATGATCTCTTGGAATCACACTGATCTCCGCTGAGGTGTCAGGCTTCCGAGGATGTAGAAAACCATCGCAAGATGTTTTTGACTATAGCGTAGAGAGGAGCTCCAGAGAAATGGGGAGGCCACGCCCCCCCCTTTACGGATACCTATGATCCCAGCCAATTGGCTTCCTCCGGATGGATCCTTCCATCCACTGACCTGAAGACCAAGGTGCAATTCTGCCAATCGAAGGGGAAGTAGGTGATCTCGATGGAGCAGGTGCTGCGGAAGATGGCAGGAGGCAGCCAGTACATGGAGCCGTCGGGGTAGACCAGCACATTGGCGTAGTAGGCCACATCGAACTTGCCGTCGATGCTGGGGGGCGTGAAAGGGGGGGGGACATGAGAAAGGATTCATTTTGTTGTCACTGAAGCAACACTTTTGTCCAGGTAGAATAAAACTGGAGAAACGCATGGTTCAAGGGTGCAACAGCGTTACTCAGGATTCTTAACAACCACATCCCCTGCAGCTGATACTCATGATGTGTCAGGCTGCCACATCGTGCAGTAGGCTTTGGGCTTGTTTGAGGGTTTGGACTCACTTGTTCTCCAGGACGATGTCAGGCAGCCAGACCATGCTGGAGGGAACACGGAGCACGTCGATACCATAGTAGGCAGAGGTGTTCCAGGCCAGCCGGTAATCGTTCCATTGCTGGGGGGGGGGGGGACACATCACAGTGACAGGGGTTAACTGGGGAAGGTTAACAATCAGTACAAAACTCCCTTTAAAAAAAGACATGAGGTTCAACTGGAGATAAGGTATAAAAAATGACTCACAATTTCAATCCAGACATTTGTGGTGAGAGTTTCTTCCTTTTCATTCTGAGAAAGACAGAGAATTTAGAGTGACATAATGCAGAAGCACAAGGTCAAAAAGAGGCCTCCCTTCTGGGGGATGTGAAGCCAGCACCAGTTATGACTTCAAAGATATGTGCCAGTAAATTGGGAGCAAAATTACAGAACGTTCTGAACATGCAAAGCACTGTGGGTAATCCGGGAGCTGTGGACATGCAGTGGCGTTGGTAACAGTGCATTCTGGGTATATAGCGGTGTTCTGTTAGCCCAGGTAAGGCAGCAGGTGGGGAGGCAAACTGCGGAACATTGGCCTTCCATCTTCAGGGTAGCAATCATTCAAACATCTGTCCCGGGCTACGCTGCTGCTTACCAGCGAGATGAGGTTGGTGAGGGTGAGTTTCACCTGCACCTCCACCTTGTCGTCGGCGTGCCTGGCCGGGCGGATGTTCTTGTTGTAGCCCGTCATCAGGTCCTTAAGGAGCTGCGTCTCCTCGTTCCCGCTCACCGGTAAAACTATGGGAGGGAAAATGACTGCCGTCCAACACAAACCCGTCCAGGACCAGAATAAACCCCGATCGGGCGCAGGGCACCCTATCTAGACTTAATGCGGATAAAGAACACTTAACAGGGTTCAAATTCCTAAATCGGGACTTGCACGGGGTGTAATATTATACATAGGCCTACTTAACATAAACATGAAGGCTTTCACAGCAGCCCTGGGCTATTCTAGCTTTGAACACAAAACAAAATTAATCCGTCGTTTAAATTATTAAAACTCAGACAAATTCAACCTAGCACCCACCAACCAAAAGAACAGCAATGAAGATCAATGAAGGAGGACAGTGAAATCAGCGGGTTTAATATTTATTTTTCATTACTGCGCATGTAAATACTACCTCTCGCGGAACAAAAAACCTAGAAGTCAAACAAGTATGGATAGAGGCCGGAAAGTGGGCGAAAGCTGTAAGCGGCGCAGAAGCGCGCTGCCTCGGCGGTTACCTGCCAGGGCGACGGCCAACAGCGCGGCCACAAGCAGGCGCGACGGAACGGGCTGGAACGCCATCGCCGGACCCGGCCTTTCTCCTGTGCGCCCAGATGTCTCCAAAATGAAAAAGGGTCTGGAAAGAAAGGGTCTAGGGAAAAAAAAGAGAAAGTAAGGAGCTGTTCCAAGCCGCGCTTCTCCCTTAACCCCGCTGTACCCCCTCCAGCTCCTCCAGCTGTCGCTGTCCGTGGGTCGGGTTACAAAGCAGCAAGGCTGCGCTTAACTCAATACACCACTAATAATAATCTTTATATTACTCTATCGGCGCATATAGCAACAGGAGAGCTTACGGCGTGATCTTTCAAATTATTTTATTAATATGGATAATAGACCTAATACATAAGGCCCCAATATAGACGTTTCATTACCAAATCAAACCAAATTATTGCAATCAATACGATTGCTTAGAAAGAAGAGTTTAAAAGTCTTTTTAAAATGCTTCCAGGCATATC